AGTTACGATACTGTATGGTCAAAGTATTGCATTAACCAAATTTGAGGGATGTAGCTTTGCTACAACGCGTACCAGCGGCGTTTTTAACTTTCCGTTTAAACATTTGTGTATAAAGTTTTACGCGGCTTTGCACGTTTTCTTCTCATTGTTGATCAAAATGCTCTGCTCATTTCTAAAATGGCAAGAGAAATGCAAACATTCTTACCCAAATAAAAATGTGCAATCGCCCTGTTACTGTACAGTTTGGCGTTCAATTCTTTATCCTTGCAGTTCACTTTAATTCCTTCCGTGTAATAGTGAATGGCACTCGCAAAATCTCTTTTTCCGTATTCCTCATTGCCTTGATTCTTGTAAACCTCAGCTATTGCTAAAACGAAAATGGAACGAGACCTTTGTAGTTTGCAACAGCTTAAAAAATGTTGCTACAAAATGCGAAGATCTGGTTTTTTTCATTATTAATGTTATTACTAGTTAATTTCCAAATAATAGCGTAATTCGTTTTATAAAGATATAGAGTAGTGTGATTAATCAACAGTCTTTAAATATTCTAAAATCACTGAAATAAGCCCTTCTAAAACAACACAAAGTAGTAGCGGTTCTGCTCACCTCGTAAATTGTCGTCATCAAAATCCAGTGTTTCTTCAGCAGGTGGTATGACGTCATTTTCACTCGGAACCTTGATCGGACTCCTCGCCATGGATGCTGGGAGTTTTCGGTGTTTGAGATTACTAATCTTTTGCGATGCCTCTAGTTCGAGTCAAAATAATTGTAAACAAAAATTCAATGTGAGGAATTAAGTGGCTGGATTGGTGCAACAACAGGTGTTTACTACGATTATCAGTTGAGTAAGGCGCGACGGAGCTTTGGTGACAATTTTTTGTATTCAAAATTACGGTGTTGCCACAGGAAACTTTCCTCGTTATTCATTGCTCACTTTCGAGTCGTTGGTTTTCGTAGTACTTAGCTAGAATTCGGCTAAGGTTGACGCGAAAGAATTAGGTGGATTTATGCAATCTCGTTATTTCCTTGAGATCTAAACATTTTTATTTAACAAATAGATTAAATAGATTCCATGTTTCCCTGCATCTGTTCAGTTATTGATCACAGATGACGTCAAATTTGTTATAAAAACAAAACTGTGTCACTGATGTTCTTACCACATTTTGACGTCTTCTGTGATCTATTACTGAACAGACGGAATCAACTTGTTTTACATCATAAAGAAACAAAAACAAGTTGTTAATGATACTATTCATAAGGTCTTGTCTTCGTGCCTCCTTTGCTTTTAACAGATAAACTGCAGTCCATTAAAACTAAACTAAACTAAACTTATAAAGAAACAAATAAAACAATTTTAGATTTCTTGGAGGACAGCATTCAGGTAGACTACGAGTAGTCCCTCTTTCACTTAGTCTGTCATGCGAGAAAACTCCCAGGATTTCGCGCGGCCATTTTTCTTTCACAGCTTTCTTTCGCGTCACGCACGACGGACTAAGCGAAAGAGGGACTACTCGTAGTCTAGCATGCATGAGAAGGGCTAACGAAAAATAAAACTACTTCGAGGCTATTCTTGAAACGTATTCCCCTTTTGCCTTGGTATATATCAGTCCCATATTGATATTGTGATGCACTGGAAGAAAATACTTCATACTTAGAGGCACGTAGAATAAGAATGAAAAATGCGCGAGTGTTGCATTTTAGTAATAAATTGGAATATTCATAAGGGGAACCCCCGGATTTTAAGACAACAAATTACTTTCAGTTTCGAGTATTGGGCTCACTCTTTTACACTGTAACTTCAGCTAACCGAAGAGTGTCTAATCATGATTTTAGAACTTACGGAGCGTAGAAGTACGAAACATTGGGCCAAATTATTGATCTATTTAACAACTAGATCATGGCTGCGACCTCGTCAACTATCGTGCAAAAAAATCGAAAGCACGAAATAATCTGATTGTTTTAGTGTATCTTATAGTCATTCAAAATTGCATCTTACATCCCCTTCACAGACACTTGCACTGGTGGCAAGGAAACCGCACCCTACAAAAGCTTCCTTTGGGAGCCTGAATCTGTGTGAGTCAATTGGTGAGTCTGTTATTCATCTGAAGAAGTACCTTGTAGACTTTGGAGGGAATTTAAGATCCACAACTGAGCTGTATTATTCAGACTAATCGCGTGACGCCGGCCTTTCCACTTTTTAATGTGCGTTTTTGGTGGCTTTAGAATAGTTATTAGGGAAACCCCCTTTTTCCAAGAAAACTGTTGGCCTATGTGATCTCATGTACTGCATGTGACGCCGATTTAAATATATATAAATAGCTAAATTTTGTGTATACTTGGAGTACAGGGGTTAATCCTGAAGATAGCCATAATCTTATTTGCATAGACAGCCAAATTGTGTCACGCTATCGAAAGTGAAAGTAAGGTGGAATCTATATTTTCAAACGTCCAAAGGAAACAAGATTTGGTTTGAAAAATCGGGTAGCTCGAGAAATCAGGGGTATACTCAGTGTCCGACTGCGTGGAGGGAAACGAATTATGGGAGGCCCGAAAAATCGGGATACTAACTTCTCCGTAACTGCTTCATACCTGCGACAATGAAATAAACTGTTTGTGTTTTCTTCTAACACAATCAAAGGGGGCAAAGTGCTATTGCTTTGGATGATCTCTATTTGCTGAGCCAAATCTGTAAAAGTATTTTTCATACCTTGACGCTCAATGTCTCAAAGTTTTCAACGCTGAATAACATTTCACAATAATGACAACATATACAACAGGGATTTTCTTACTAACCTTCCGAAGTTTAGTGACCAGCCAGTCGACCGAACAGTACAACACAGAAATATTCATAAACTGAAATCACTATGACCAACCCGACTAATATAATCGCTCCCACACATCTTTCGATTTCGAACTCCAAGGGTAAAAGTCCCTTCTTTTATTATCTGGTGACTCTCGCCCCCAGACCTCTTAGCCGGGGGAACCTTGGCACGAGGAAATAGTGGCTCTGAACATTCTCGTACCCAGAGTCACCTGGACTTCTCAGCCGGTGTGGCTTTGGCACGAGGAAAAGGGAATTTAAATCAGACTAAAATTCTGACCGGGTCGCACTCACATGTTTCGTTATAAAGGACTTCAGAGCAAATTCTCTCCGTTAGCAAGTCTGAAACTTGCAGAAAATCTGTTGGTGTTGCGATCGAACGGTTTCAGCAATAATTCAACTACTGGGTATTTTTGGGAAGGAAAAAAGGTTAAATGGGGGAAAATCTCTTTCTTAAGAATCTAGTTAATTACATTATATCTCCAAAGCCATCTCTTCTCGTGCCAAGGCCTCGCGGGCTGAGAGGGGCAGGCGGCTTTGGGCAAAAGAATGCGGAGAAGAATTTCATAAACTTATCGCTGGTTTCTCTTCTCAAAGAAAAACCCTTTGTTGACCTCTACCTAAAATAAAAACGTTCCATTGCACCATCTACTGACCTTAACAACTTTTACCAAAGGGAATTGTGAATGCCACTTCAAAGACAGAATCTGACATCTGTTTTAAATCTGCCTTGGTAAAATCTGGGTAAATAAAATCCCAACCAAAGCCAGCGAACGCAAGTCATCGCAAGCCAAACAGAGTAACAAGATGAAAATTTGCGTCTACTTGGTACTCCGTTTGTGCCGGCGTTACAACATGCTCAAAAGATGATGATGATGATGATGATGATGATGATGATGACCACGATACATTTAAAGTCGGCATACACGAGGGGGCTAGACCCTGCGACCAGTCCCTGCAACTAGTCCCCTGAAGAGTTTAAACGAAGGGACTGGTCGCAGGGACTTGTCCCACGAACAGTTCACACCAAGCGTTTTGAGGAACAAGTCGCAGTGACTTGTCCCAAAAGTTTGAATTCGTGGGACTTGTCGCAGGGACCAAAGTTTGGTCCCTGCGACTAGATTTTGAAGGAAAAATTGCCAATTCACACGATGGGACTTGTCCCCGCCACTTGCTACAGGGACTAGTCGCAGGGACTAGTTCCTTCGTGTGTGCCGACCTTTACCGTATATCGTTCACAGCATCACTCAAAAGCCAATTGTACTAGATCTCGTGTCATTTTTATTAACAATTTCATTCCACGGGTCTCCATCTAGTGAGTTACATACACAAATTGGTTATGGTAATTGCGACGAGTGCTCATAATTAGCGAATAAAACCCTCTCTTATCCAACCGAGACGGGGGATTGAACCTACTGAAGGCGAAATACGGCGTAGATTTGGTGGATTCTAGCACACTGTGTACATTATATTTGTCTCTTTTT